TGGTCAGGAACCGTTTTTGGTACTTTTCCGTTAGCCGGGCGAAAGCAAAGAATTGCCAAATAATGTAGAATTCCGCCAAATTTCTTGCAACAGTAAGGGGAATGTTAGTTTTGAGCCACGTGCTCTATTCTCTGAATTCATTCAAAACTAAGCAAGTTTTTCGTTCTTTCTTCCAATTATTATAAACATTCTTTTTGGGTAAAACTGTTTTGTTTACAATTCATTGATTGATTGAAAACAGCTTATTTAGATAAACAAAAATTTACAGATAAACTGATTTTTTTTTCCTCATTGGAAACGGTAAACACATTTAATAACTATTCAATAGATTATAGTTAAATTTACTAATCCTTAATGCGATACATCTGCTGCATGATTTGTTCGAAGAGTATCGTTTTAATTGTAAAATTTTATCTTCTGCTGAAGTATATATGTATGAGAAAAAGAGTAAAAAATTGTAATTAAATTATTGATAATTTATTGGCCAAAATGTAATACTATTTTCTACTATGAAGTAAATAAAGCCAAAGGGCAAAAGAGAATAAATTTAAAAACGGTTTTCACCAAATCATGGAAACTAATTGCATGACGCGAAGTGATTTCGAAGTGTTAATGAAAAATGATTATTTCAAGCTGACACTCGAACTCGTAAGTTCACTTCCTAAGGAATTTCACACAAGACGTAACTTGTAAACATTTAGTTAACAATTCTTCCTCATTTCATCTTCTTTTTGCTTCCTAAGTCTTAATTTTTTTCACCTTCTTAAATTTAGTAATATTGAATGTAAAAATGAAACTTTGAAAAAAATCAATTTCATTAGTGCTACTAAAGAATAATTGTATATGTTATTATATTGTATGAATAATATTAATCAATTTATTTATTACATTTTTAAAATATGAATGAGGTACTTTGTACCAATTTAACTATGACAGTTGAATAAGTAGTAAATATATGTTATAATCTTCAACACAAAAAAAACATAATTTTTTTTTTAACAACGGAAAACAGAAACTTAAACTAAAACTAAATTATAAACTTATAAACTAAACCGAAGCTTATAACTTTGAAAAACTTAGTATTTCAAAAACAGAAGAAAATCCAGATTTCGGAATTGAAACCTGTAATAATTTTACTTTTAAGTTAAAGGGATATTTTACTTAACTTATGAGAATTTTTTCTTTATTTTAAGTGAGAAAACAATATTTTACTAAACATATAAAGTTTATCATACTCACTTATAATTGAAAATAAATTAATACTTTTTTCCTTTGTATTTTTTTTTCATTCTAGCTAAAATTTATATTTAGTTTTAAATTCATTGAGCTATTGAAAATTTTTATTTTTATTTCAACGCTATTTTATTTGTCGGAAGTAAATTTTTTATTTTAAATCTGCAGTTGAGGATGGAAGTAAGAAAAACGAAGACAGTTTTGATGAAATTGAGTAAGTATAACTTAGACTTATGCAGTTCCTGGCCAAATTATAAGACACACTATAAGATTCTACGTAAAATCTTAATTATCAGGTGATATTATACAACTTCATTGTTTTTATGCGCCTGAAACCGGTTTGCACTAGTTTACGTTCGTGTATCAATTGGTTAAATTAGACCATATATAATATAAATTCGACAATTGAAAAAATTAGACTATATTTTATGTATATACACGAGTTTATATGCAATACTTTTATATTGAAACATACATTTAAGGGGTTTTTATTTAAGAGATTTTTTTACATACTTCCTATTTGTATTTATTTTTAACGAATTGCATAACAATGTTAACCAATTTTTACACAAACGTAAACAAGTGCAAACCTGTTTCAGCCGAGTAAAAACAATAAAGCTGTATAGTATCACCTGATAATTAAAATTTTACATAGAATCTTATAGTGCGTCTGATATATTTTGCCAGGGACTGTATGACAACTTCTTTACAGAGTACCGAAAGTCGAGTAACGATTTCCAGCACGGAAAATTTGATAAGTCTATATGGGGGCCGGGATAGCCTGGTCGGTAGGGCGCTGGGCCCATATCCAAGAGGTCGTGGGTTCGATNTGGGTTCAAATCTAAACATAATTGTACCATTCATAAGAGCTTTCAGAAATGTATTGATTCTCAGAGGTCGTAAGGCCAAAACAAATTTTGGAAAGTTAATATCTCATTGTGAATAATTCTTAAGGTTTGCCATGTTTTGTATTTTATCCCTTATTTGGCTGCATATGAATGAAATGTCGCCAAAAATATCTTTAAAAATATCTTTTCAAGTTAGCCTAATTAGAAAATATTCTAATAATTATAATATTAATATGATTATACTGAAGTTTAAAGGCTGAAAGAAAGAACTCGGTACGTGTGAAATACTGAAAAAGATATGATGCAATAATATGATGGCGCGATTTTTCAATCTGCGGCGTAAAAATATATCGGAAGCAGTAACCCGGAAGTCTTGAAAGAGCAACTTTACCACTAGCGCCACCACTCTTAGCTTTGCACGATCACCCATCCATATTTGTCCTACATCGGATGATAAGTTGGCCAGGTTTGGTTTTATTTGCTTAGTTAGTTTTTTATTGCAAAAAAAAGAAGAAAAAATTTTTTTTTCTCCTCCAACTCAAACAATTCTCCAATTGTTTTCACCAGTGTATTTCAATGATGTATTTTTTTTAATGGACAAGAATGATTGCGAGTATGATTTATTAACAGATGATGACTGATAATAATTGATTTGATAATTGTTCTGACTTGAAATTAGATTTAAAAATGTTCATATTGTACTCTCATATTGTATTGTTGTTACTTTAAATATCATTACAATAAAGGTAAAACGTAATTTACTGATTAAAAAATTGAAAAATTCCAAAATTTAATAGGATTTAGCATATTAGATCAGTTAAAAAAATAGTGTTTCAATATTTAAAATGTTCATCATTTAATAGGAGTATTGACCACGTATTAATTTGTCACTACTTAGATATTTGTTACTCTTCGAAATAAAGAAATTTTTAAATTCCTCGTTAGGGAAATATTCGCTTAAATCTTCTGTTTTTGTTATTCTCAACAATCAGATTTGGAAAACAATCTCTTATCAAACTAAAATATATTTGAAAAAAGGAAATAAAAACAATTATGTCTTGAATATTATACAAAATTGCAAATTTAAAAAATATGTTCTCTTATAGTTCTAGATGTGACACGCATGAATGGGAAGATGATGAAAATAAACAAAATACCAAATACATTGACTCATTTTATGACAAAGAAAATGACTATCTAACACTATCTCTTGAACTGATTGAACGGAAAAAGTATTACTTCGTATTCAAATTAATTAAAAATGTTGTTCAAATGCTTTATTAACAATGTAAAGTTAATTATAAAATATATTAAAAAAAAAATCGTAGTTAACTCGTTTTTTAACTTAAAGAATTAGGTGTGCAGTCAATAAAAAAACTTTTGCATAAGGTTTGTCTTGCGTTAACCTTAACGCTAATTTAATTTTCTTTTCCTTAGGGATACTACGCTATCTGTGATATTCACAGATGGCGTAGGAATGTTATTTATTAGAATTATTAATATTTATTTATTTTTAAAAAGAGATAAAGAACGACTAAGATGGTGTATAGGCGATCGCAATGCTCGAATACACCTTCTGGGGAGAAGACCATGGCAGTGGCGTAGCGAGGGGGGAGCAAGGGGGGGCATCATGCCCCGGGCGCTACTCACAAAGGGGCGCCAAATGGTCAGCAAAACAAAAAAAATTGTTGGATAATTTTTTATTTTTATTATAATTTATTTCTGGAAAATATATTTTAAATTTAGTACCAGTGAAATATAATAAATGTTAATTCGTAAATAAAAAGGAACACTATCAAACTGTAATAATGTATTCATAATAGAAATGACGCGTCTTTTCTAATGTTAGGGCTGACTCGACCTGTGTCTGTCAGCACTTCCTTATGGCATCTACGCTGTGTGGTTACATATATTATCTCCAAATATTTGCAGTGTACAAGGTACAAACATCAGTGTACAAAGTGTTTGTATGTTTTTACAGTGTACTAAGTACAAACATTCTTTCTTTCAGAACACTATTTATTTTTATTTCTATAAAAGCAAAGTAGCTTACGATCAACTTTATCATTAAAGTATGATCAACTTTAATGATGTTATTGATAAATTTGCTTCATCAAAAGCGGAAAATTTATACATAGTAATTAGTTTTATTAATGTATTCTAATCATATTATTAAATATATGTATTTCCTTAGAGATAATAAATATTTACTTTTTTATTGTTTTAAAACTGCGTATTTTTAAAACATTTCTTTATAAATTTGTAAAATAAATAATAGGTATCTTTTGAACTAATTCTAGATGATCATATACATTTCAAAATCTAGTCTTGTTTTCTCAACTAGATTTTTTGCCTCAAATTTAGTGCCTAGCTTGAGCCTATGACTTTATTTATTTTACTTTATTTATTTATTACTTTGCGAGTATATTTTACTTATAATATTAGATGGTTTTCGAATGGGGGGGGGGGCGCTAATAAGGTATTGTGCCCCGGGCGCGAGTTAAGCTCTCTACGGCACTGGACCATGGCTTTGCCTTTTCCCTCTCCTCCTCGTTTCAGTTATATAGGAATGTACTACGATATTTTTCCCTTTCTTAATATTTTTCGTATTTAATTGTTCAAAATATTTTTTAAAATTTCCATGATTCTGTCTTTTACTACTATGTATAATGTAGATTTCAGTTCCGTGTAGTTTCCTAATTTAAAAGATTTTAATCTATTTTAAATGGTGATGTTGTAGTTGTAGTTCATTTATGTCGCACTAGAGCTGCACAATGGACTATTGGCGACGGTCTGGGAAGCATACCCGAGGATGATCCGAAGACATGCCATCACATCCTCTGCAGAGAGATTTAAATGGTGAAAGCATGCGAAGTATAGCCATTCAAAGGGCCATTCTCGCTTTGTGTGATTTGCAATCATGCGTTCCTACGTGTTCGTGTTTTATGATGAATGCGTTCCTGTGTGAGAATTAAGGCATTCTTGCTGCATGCAGTTGTCACACCTCCAATCGCCAGTGAGAGAAAAATAGAATCTTGGTGCGGTTTCGAGAGAAAATTTATTGCACTAATCAGGCTCTCATATTCCCTTGACAGCGTTTGGAGGCATACTGCATACAGAGAGAATGGCCATTCAGTTGGGCCATCGCTAGTCTCTTTTAGTTCTCAAAGTAATTTGATAAATAGTAAATGACTGCATCCGTGATTGAAGTATAAAACAGAAGCAAAAAACAACAACAAAAAGCTTGAGATGATAGGTGATGGCACACTATCTTTGCAGTAAGTGAAATTCATATTTTATACTCGCTTTTCTTCGACATACACACGAGAGCAATGTCTCTCACGTCTTTCTCACCTCACGTATATAGACAACTTGAGGAAATAATTAAAAATGGGAAGATAGGTATATGCCCGGGTGCTATTAAAATATTAAACGCACTTCCTTCATGCCCGAACTTGGGCAAAGAAATGTTCTGTGACAGATTTAAAATTGTGATACCATATGGAGGACATTCGGTAGATTGGATTGTGATTTTTCAATCATCTTCACCAGATTGCCCACCTGATTTTATATTCATGAATAAAGGATTTGTCGCTCTCGACGATATAAAAAGTCTGTCGAACTGGGACTCGAACAAACCTAACTCTCTTTTGTTAGTTTTAAAGGAATTTCTGCATCATTATCAAAAGTATCAAGCGTCTCGGTTGGAGAATTATTCTCGTGTGCAATTCGAATACTCTACTTTAACACAGCAAACAAACATATCAGAGGATGATATTGAAGTGTATGTTAGCGACGAGAAAGAAGGTCCAATCAATTTCCTTATTCAACTTGGTGTGAAGTTTTCAGGAATACCGAAAATATTCAGAAGTGACTTGGGACACGATGTGGCACTCTTAATGGTTACTTTCAATGGACCAGAAGGTACTAAAATCACACCTAAGTTGTGCTTGCCTCCCAAAATCGAGCACGCCTTAGGCACCCCTCTGTCCTGGCGATTACCTTCTTTTTCAAGTGATGGATGTTTGATGGATTACGTCCCATTCGTGCAAGAGTCTCTCAAGAAAAGAGTCGAAATGGTCTCGTATAATTTCGAAAAACGCATGGAGTACCTTTTTGAGTTTTTGGAACATTTTGAAGGATGTTATCTGGAATTTGACAGAGATTTGGCTTCAAAAGCTACTTTCTTATTAGAACAAAATGGATTTTATTTTCTATTTCATATTGATTTACCTCAAAACTTTCCCTTAGGCAAACCTTCCTTCACTTTTCGATCCATATATCACTCTTCCTTCGAGAAGCCATATTCAACTACTGTCATGAATTATCCATATAATCAAGGATGGTGTGCAAAAACTATGCTTGAAAAGGCTATAGACTTTGTTCAAGAGTACGCAGTAGTTTTTCAGAGGAATTCTGTACAAAACGGTTCTTCGCCTTGATTGTTTAATAATTAATATTGGTACTTCTGCATTGTTAGGATCTTAAAAAGCCACAATTTGAAAATTTATTTCCTAATTCTGCATGTGTAAAAATATTGATGCATGTGTTAGGCATTAATTTAAAAATATTATTATAAAGCATACTTAACTTGTTTTCAAGTTTCTTAATGTTCATTATTATGTTATATGTTCAATTTCTTAATCAGTTATGTTTTATTATTAAATTATATTTGTAACTAAAATTATAAAATTGCTGTTACACAATATAATAATAAAACTAATTTAAGGAAATTTTTCGTATTAGTTTTATATATACAGGGGTCTGTCCAGACATTTTGTAAAAGGTCCGTTTTTGTAAAATTGTGAAAAATTTGTGAATATAAAATAAACGTTAAGTCCCATTCTTTCAACCAGGGTCCGCTTTTGTGAATTTGTGCAAATAGGGTCCATTATTGCAAAAAAAACTTTTTCAACGAGTTTTTAAATTGTAAAGACATAACAAGATTATGCTCAACACTGTAAAATTATAATTAAAAAAATTTAATTTTAAAAAATAAATAGCGATTGCAACTACTAAATTTGCCATGCAACATATAAATATTTGGTACTTAGCCTATACTGCTGAACGCAGAATATTCATTTCGGACGAATAAAGGAAGAAGCGTCTGCCGAAGACAAAATTTAGTTCGTTTAAATCTGTCTTTCTTCCCCCCCCCTTCCTGGGAAGGGTTTATTCGATTAGCAAAACAATAATGATGATAAGCAAATTTGTGAAGGATCCAATTAAAAGATAAATTATTTTGTGAAGGGTCCGTTTTTATGAAAAGATATTTTGTGAACTTCACAAAATATCTTTTCATAAAAATGGACCCTTCAAGGGCTCGTTAATGGACCCAAATTTCTTTGAAACAGACCTTTGATATATATATGTATATACACGCTCACAATATTAGTTATAATTTCATATCTGTGCCTATTTGAGTTGGTTAATATAGACACATACTGTCTTAAAAGCTACATTTTACAAATTCTTTTTTAAATTTAATAGGGGTGTTCACATTATTTTAAAATCAATAAGATCACAAATTTAAAATTACACATAATGCTTCAAATTTAAATAATTGAATAATCAGACATTTTAATTGCATTCATTCAGTTAAAAATACATAAGTTGTGGTTAACATTCAGACAATTTTAGAAATTTAATATCTTAATTTTTTTTCAAGCAGTTCTGTAATCTAATATCACGATTCATATTCACACAATTTTAATATAAAAACAATTTTAGTTTTTATGGGATTTAAGTTGAGATTACATTGTTGAAGTGGTTAACATTTGGGTTCCTTTTGGTGCCGGTATTGATATGGAAATCTTTACATATTTTTAATTAATTTTAAGTTAAAAAATTCAGCAATAAGAGTTTTGCCCATGGCAGTTTTAGAAAGCATTACCAAACATGGAATAGAATACCGTAATTGAACTGGGAAAATCTCCTTATTTTAATATTTATATTATGTAAATAAATATGTAATTCTATTTGAATATTCACTTGTGCTTTTTACCAAAAAATAAAATGAAAAAGAACGAAAATAATTTACAAAACAGTGTACAACAATATAATATCAACACAAGTAGGTTTTCTACAATAATATTGTTAACCTTTACCTTTTTTTATTTTGAATGGTTAAGGCACTATAATGCAGAAGTACCTTCGTTTTGTACAGAAATTTTGATAGAATTAGAAATCCAAGACATTATGTTTTCTGTTTACATGTCGCAATATTAATCAGGTTACCTCATTAATTATTGAATTTATTTTTTAATGAATTTGTTAATTGTATTATAAGTTTATAAATATTTATTAGCTACATACTGCAAAATTATACCTTGATCTTAATTTTTTAATTATTTCTAGATAATAGATAGTAAACTTTTGCGCAGATACTTCAAGGATGTTCTTGATAATATATTTTGATGATTAAAAGAGTTGAATTGAATTATTTATGTTTGGAACTTTATTTTTATGCATATAGTTATTAATTTTTATATTGTAATATTGTTTACATTTGACTCAGTATAGATGAATTTGGTTTGTGAAGCATAAAAATTCATTTAATGTCCACTCTTAAATATTTTTTTTATATCCTACTTCTGGACAGAGGTCTACCAAGTGGCATGAATAACACTCCCATAACGCTTGGGGCAGGGGGAACGCAGATGAGGTTTGAAGGTGTATAATCCAAGAACTATACACTGCAAGATGGGAGTGTACAAACTGTGGTCTGCTAGCTCTTGAAATGCAGCCTGCGGTAGCACCTAAACATACTAAAAAATATTTTGCTTTTCTTGGAAAATAAAAAATTTCTGAAATTTTGAATAGTGCGTTAAAGTTTTTCTAAGATAGGGTGCATTTTTAAATCTTGCTGGAGGTGGGGGTCACCTAAGTCTATGTACGCCACTGAACCTTCAGGCTGTAAGCCCACTGGCAGTCCAATAAAAATTAGCATAGGCCGGCTTGTGAAATAACAAAACTCTTAAAATTGAGGAATTTTGAATGTTTTTTTTAAAATTAGTAATACTAAAAAAGTTTTTACTATGCTTAAAAATTTACAAATATTGACTCCAGAATAAAATAGGGAGTTTTGACTCATTTTTTGTTTATAATGATTGATACTAAAAATTTCCTGTGATAGTGATAAATTTCCTCGAATGCCATTCATGTAATTTAAGAAACGCTGCAGTTAGACTACAGCATAGGTGTAAGCATTGACTACAGCATAGGTGTCCATGGACATTAGAGCTATAATCAATGCTTGCGTGGCATAGGTGTCCGTGGAAAAAGTCATGTTCACTAAACTAAATTCAGTGAATACTCAGTAGGGAAGGTTCCTTGTGAATGGAGAGTGTAACAATGAGTTCCAGTTCTTATCCCTCGCAACTTAAGCATTTCTATTCTGGAGAATCTCTCATAAAACTCTTAAATCTGAAAAACTTTTGTTTCTATAAAATGAATAAATATATCAATTATTTTGAGTTGTGATAATTGCTCTGTAAAAAAATGACCTAATTTTCTTACTATTAAACTTTAAATCTCAAATTTAATTATCTTACGCCAAATCTAAAATCCATCAAATAGTTTTTTAATCCAGAAGCACAACTCAACTGAAAATTTTTTGTGGAACTTCGCACAAGTAGTCTAGCATTTAAAGCTGTTACATTTTGCTACATTTTTATACAGTTCATGGAAAAAATTCATTATGTCTATGAAATGTAAATTATGGAAACTGAAGTTAGAATAAAATTATGCTTAAAAATTTTGATTAATATTAAAAATGTAGTAACTTATGAAAATTATATTTCATGTTTATTATTTATTTGAAATTTTTATAATGTAAATTGTGAATAAATGTATGGAAAAATGAGGATTTTAAGTGAATTGAATCTGGATTTATCTTATTCTGTAAATACCTTTTAGTTTGTGTTTGAAGTGATATATAGTATATATTTAATTTTTTTTAATATATTATGTTTTGATATAATATGTTTTAATTATAAATACATCAAAATATTTTTTTTATTGTTATTAATGAATTATTTAGTATTTACATCCTGCATATTAAGTCTGCATAAATTGTTTGATGAATTTCAACATGAAATATTTAAATTAATATTATTTGTTACTGAAAGAACTTTTAAATAAAAGTTTTGCAAATTCTTTTGTCTATTTTTTATGCTTAATTTTTATCCATATTATCAAATCAACAATGCTTTTTAATTAATGTTTGTTCAAAGTGTATGCATATAAATATCATTACTACTAATGGTCTGATATTTTTTAAAAGAACAACCATTTAAGTATAAGTTCTGTACATTTTTTAATATTTAGAATCATAAGCTGTGAAAATTTGGAGCTCTACGCCTTATAAGTAATATCACGTTGATGTTCGCTTAATATTTCTTTTTACTCTTAGAATCGTTAAAACTGCGCCTATTCAAAGTTCTGTTGCTTCAGGATTAGCAAGTTTTTGACAATAGACGGTTTTATACAATTTTAACCTTGGTTTTAACTGTCTTGTCAAAACCCCTTTTTGACAAATTTCTAACAATTGTCAAAAATCCAAAATTCTGGTGTGTGGATAAATATTAACTACTACAAATATGAAGCCTTTATAATAAATTTTTTTTATTTTTTAAGTTGGGATCAGACAATTTATTAAACTACTTTAGTTTTACTCAATTTAAAAAATCTATCAAAATTAAGTCATAAAAGAAGTAAATCAATATTTGGATTGATAATTTATAATATAAACTGAATAGTTATTGGAAATAATATTGATCTTAAAGTATTATGACTGCCATATTTTTAGAAAAACCAATGAATAGTTTCAATAATTTTAGACATATTTTTATTATAATATAAATCATAATTGAGTAGCATGTAATGCAAGCAGTCTGAATGATTTAATATCTTACTAAGTGTCCAAAATGACAAAAAAGGAACTTGCAGTTGATTTTTGACAGTTTTTTCCCTCCAGACTTTGACCGATTTTTGATGTCAAAAATCCAACTCAGCTTGCTATATTGCTGTATATTTATTGATAAGCCTATTTTAAATGTATATCCCGATTAATATTGGTCTTAATATTTTTTTTTTGTAGTCGGAATCATTAAATCTGTGGCTATCCCAACATTCTGTACCTATATATTTATATTTATTGATAAGCTGACTTAATTACAGTTATCTTCATTAAAAAGTAAGTAAAATTTAATTATTTTATTCCATAACGTGGCATTGTCTAATGCTGTTATTTGAAATCTTATGTAATTAGACATTTAATTTTGTTTGTTACATGTAGGTGTTCTATTGTGAAAACTGGGTGTGTAGCGTTTTTAAAAAGTGCTTAAAGGTGCTTATTTTCGTTTTTTAAAAGCCCTTAAAGTTGCTTTTTTCAATGGGTATTTTTAAAAAGTGCTTAATTTTCCCTTTTCGAAATGAGATTTTTTCTTTACTATTTTGATTTTTGCCTCGAATTATGCAACAAGACACAGTTCACATTGTTCTATTCAACGTTTTCACAATTAATTCAACCACAATCTATTTCGGCTAATTGTCGTTCCGTAGTGTACGAAAAAGCGATTTGTTTTACATAATTCAAAATTTCATGATTTTTGACATGATGGTTAAAACAAGATAAAACCGTGAATTGTCAAAAACTTTCCAACTCTGCCTAATTATGATATTTTTTTAAAGTGCTTAAAATATTTTTTGAGTGCTTGGAAAGTGCTTAAAAGGTGCTAATTTTTTGTTGAATAATTTGGCTTCGCACCCTGGAAAAATTAAAAAGTTCCTTAATTTTATTAAGTTTTAGGTAGTTGTATTTGTTTGTGTTATTAATGCATGCATACAATTTCAAACTTTTCTAATTGTTCAAAATTGTTAAGTTTTACAATAAAATAAATTTTCCAATAATTCGAATTCAGTTGCTTAACCGTCTGGCACTAGGCTGATGATTTTTTAAAGAAATTTCATGAACCAAAAGAATTTCAATTTAATAACTCTTAATTGAAATAGAATTTTCTAGGAGGTTAAAAGGGAATACAGGTAAGGTTCAAGATAGTCTTTTTTTTCCCTTCCATAAATCAATTTTTTCTTTGTGCACTTTCTTTGTTCTTACTTTGTGCACATTCGAATCATTTTCTTCAATGAAGTTGAAACTCATATATATGAGAGATTGCAATGTGGCACATATAGTTAGAATCATACTTCATAAACTTTAAAGTTTTCTCAGAACTGTGCTTTTGATACTTATAGGCTTGATGATTTCAACTTTTTTACCATTTGAATCGATTAAAAATTTAATGGGGATTTCAATTCCTGTAAAAAAATTTTGATGTAAAATAATCTACGCTCAGATTTTATTTAAAAAAAAAATATTATAAAGAGGTTTATTGTTTGACAAAATACCATTGTCATTGTGGGAAATCAAATTTTTATACAAATTCAGCAAAGCCACGGAATATTGTGAAGGGAGTTTTTGTTTTTAAATTTGTAATTGGTAAGGAGTTTGTTGTAATATCTATTGGTATTATTGTAGTAATTTACTGTAGATAATAAGATAAGTAATTTTAATTTTTTTTGAAATTGTTTATTTAAGTTTTTCAAATTTTGGTTCTTATAATGCTTGTTAAATTAATTGGAAGATATTTGTAAACTTAATAAGTATTTTTAAAAGTGAATAGTTATTCCAATAAGAATGAAGCACATTTCTATATTGTTAAACACAATTCAGTATAAATGGTTTAACATTTGTTAATTTTTCTTTCAGTTGAAAATGACATCTAAGCAAACTGGTTATGATTTTTGGAACAATGTGTTGGGGTGTCCTAAATATGTTGCTGCCCCTATGGTGGACATGAGTGAGCTGGCTTATCGATTGTTATGCAGGCGTCATGGTGCCGAACTCTGTTATTCACCTATGTTACATAGCCAGCAATTTGCACAGGACTTCCTGTATCGACAAGATAATTTTTCTACTTCCTCTGTAGACCGACCTTTAATTATTCAAGTAATTGCTTTTCTGAAACATTTAATTGTACTTTATTATTTCTTACATAGATGCAAATAAAAAATCTAAGTAAGAAAGTATTTCATAACTTGAAAAATTCGATTTCAGAATTTAGAGAAACATCAAAATATTCTTTATAAATAATTTTCCTTAATTTTTTAAACAATGAAACAATTTTGCTTATAATTCTTTATAAAAAGTTTGTTTATTAACTCTTTTAACTCCAACATTCAACCGTGCTTGATATTCTGTTGATTAAAATAGGGAAACTACAATACGAGGTCGCTATGATCATCTAAAATTTTTTCGGATACATAAATTCAACTATAACATGTTTTTATACCTAGAAAAAAGGACATCTTTTAAAATGCCTTTTCACATTTTTTTCTACATATCCCAATTTCCTTAATAAACAATCGATGATCAGTTATGAATATTTTAAATCTTTTAAGCTAAAATAGAGTTATTTAGTTGATTTTGCGAGTAATTCATATTTTATTCTTTCTTAAAATAAGAGTTTTGAAAAGCAGGAACATTAGAATGCATTTAAATTTTTTGTATTGCTTTACATTTATTTATGTATATACGAATTAAAGGTAAAAAGCTAAACATTGAGTGCTTAGTAAATTATTCATATTAGGTATCCTTGCAATTCCACTTTCCATAGGTAATCCATAAAATGATCAAAAAGGGCTCTTGTTTATGTTTTTGCATGTTATGACATCTTTGTTTGTAATTAGCGTCTTTAGCAACATGATTTCCTTGCAAAAATATTTATCATTAATGAAAATATATCCTAGCGTTCTCCTAATATTTAAAAATAATATGGATTCTATCTAAATTATAGCTGAACTTTAGGAAAAAAGTGCAAATTCTGTGTCAGTTTTTATTAGATAACTAAACTATAGGTAAACTTCAAATCAAATATAAATTATTCGACACAAATTCTGCAATAATTAATGAAATTTTATTAATTGATTCTTAATATGATTTTTTCATATTTGCAATTTACATTTAGTGCTAAATACTTTAAATTTTGTAGATATTCTATATCTTAAAATAAGCCTGAAAGTTCTTCTGCCATGATGCTTAAGAAGAAATTTTTATTTATTTCTTTTTAAGAAATCCTGCCTAAAAATTTGAACTTAGTCTAAATTTGACTTGAGTTTAAATGTTCTCAGTATTTTATGTATTAAATGTTCTCAGTATCTCAGTTGGAAAAAAAAAGTATTCTCTTGAACCTTTTTAAACCTTTGTTTGTTAAAAATGTTTAACCTTTGTCCCTTTTTAACTACAGTACAGAACCCGTTATCCGGAAATCAGTAAACCGGAAAACCAAAAAACCGGAACGAAATTCGATAAATTTTCCCGCAATTTTTTAAAAAAAAATTTTTTTTCCTCATAAGATTTTAGGATTTTTCTTTCTTTTTTGAAAGATGTTTACCTTAAAATCATTTTGGAAATAATCATTAGTGTATTACTTCGTTTTTTCAAGATCATTTCCAAATATTTTTTTTAAGTTGGGTTTAACAATAAAAAAAACGGCTTTTTGTAGCGATTCAGAAGACCGGAAAAATCAGTTATCCGGAATAGAAATGATCCCGATCGTTCCGGATAATCGGTTCCCTACTGTATAACGTTTTTGGTAACTTATAAATTTAACTAAATTCTTTTAAAAATGTCTAAATAATGCTTGGTTTTTGTATTTTATCACATTATACTTATCTATACTTATCATTCCTTAATGTATGTTTGTGAGTAGATACTCTTGCAATCAAAATTTTGATCACTTTTCAATCAGCTAAAGTGCTCAAATTCCAAATAAAGCTTTGTGCTGTATGAGAATATAAATTTCAATTATGTCGTAACTTCTCTTGATTTTCCTTATTTTTCACTTTCAAAGTTCACCGAATCATGTTCATGTAAAGTGAACTTAAAAGTTATTTAAAACTTTTTAATAAAATAAATTTCTTGTGTCAAAGTATTTTATATGAATATGTTCTGAATTTGTTTCTGCTGATTGGAAAGTTATTTTTCTTTATCTAAGATAAAAGCACATTGAAACTATTAATTTTCAATTAAAAGAAAGTTTAAGTAAAATTATTTTTAAATGAAGTAAACTAGTGTAGTATAAGAGAAAATAAATCTGTTAAAATTTATTTATTTATTAAAAATTATTTAATTATTAAAATTTTATTTCTTATTAAATATTTCTGTGTGCTGAGGGCTTTAAATTAATGACACAGAATTTTTTAGATTGTTTTTTGATTAAACTTATATGTCAAGGATATAATCAGTATATATGTTATTGTATTTTTTTCATTTTTGTGCATTTAAATAGACCTTTATTCTAGTATTTTAAATTTCCGCAATTCTTTTTATTTTCACTCGAAGTCTTCTTGTGGTCTAGACTGGTACCTAGAACTCTTTTCTTTTCTTTTGATCTTTAGAAGTTCATGCTATATATTTCTTTGTTGATGCATATAAGTTGTTTATGTATTTTTAGAAAATGGAGTTTTTTAATGTTTGTTTTTAAAATCAGTCTTAATTATTCATCATAGTTTTGTGCAAATGATCCAGACACTTTCATTGAAGCTGCATCATTGGTGGTCGACAACTGTGATGCAATTGATTTGAATTTAGGTTGTCCTCAAGCAATCGCCAGAAAAGGTGATTTCATTATTTTATCATTAAACTATTTTTATAATGTGAAAATTTTTTTATACTTATTATTTTATTTATTATGTCCAGGAACAAAAATCTTCTATTTAGTGCAAAACTACTTACATTTATAAATCAGAAGATTAATAAAAATTTGGTAGTTAATAGTTTAAAATTTTACATTGTGTCTATTGCAAAATAATTTGCAGCCAATAAATCATATGTTTAAACAATGTGAAAATATCAATTTTAACACAAGAAATTTTAATATATTATTTGAATTATTATTTATAAAAACAAGGATGTCTTTTATCTAATAGGAATCCTAGGACTGACTTTTTCAGAATCATAATTGATATAATTTAGATTCCTAAACTCCAACTCCATGTTCCTATAAAGCGATTTTCAACATTCATTGATGACTTCATTTTAAAAAGTAAATTTAAATGTTTATGTGTATGTCATTCATTGGAAAAGTAGTGTTATTCTATATTAATTTTTTTTGATGAATTATTTTGAATAATTTTATTATATTATATTGATGGTTATTATATTGATTAATTTTGTATAATTTAGTCATACATTTCATATAAAATATATATTTCATTATAAAAGTGCATATCTAATAATTGCATTAAAATCCTATCGATTGAAACACTGGCTGAATACTTGCATTTGGTTTTTTACACATAAATATGCAAAAGTTTATTTCAAGATTCATTAAATTATAACAAAGAGATACTTTATACTTCTACCAGTGTTTTCATTACAGAAAAAAAATGGGAGAGAATTTCTCACCTTTTCTCAAAAACAGAGTGAGATTTCAAAAAGTTAAGTGAGATTTCTAAAAATTGAAAAAACGCGAATAGACGGAAAAAAAAATAGACGGAAAAAACGCGAATAGACGGACTCTGAAAAAAAAATTATTTAATTATAATACATTTTTAACATCTTATTTTTAAAGCATTGAATATTTTTGCTGCATCATCACATGGAAAATGTTCTATATCTACTTTTTCATCAGCTATTCTCATTAGGTTGCTTAAATGCTTATCAGTCAATCTGTTAAAAAATTTTGTCTTAAATCGTTTTTGGGTGCTAAGTGACCTCGCAACAGATGCTGACCTTTCCTCTACATCTGCCAGCATAGGCTTTTCAATTATTTCTGCTATAGAATAGTGAAGCTCGTTGAAGTTATTTCCATGTTCATACTTCATGTTATGTCTTTCAGCATAGCATAGTTTTCACAGCCTTTAACTTTTGCAAATTGCTGTAAATTGTAGATAAGGGAGTTTGGTAATTCATTAACAGCTAAAAATAGAGCCGACTTTAAATAACTTATGATAAAGGACTCATTTTTTTTTCTCAACTGATTTTTTTATTTAGCTGAAAAATATCCGTATTTGTTTCATTTTGACTGTTTCTACCGACATTTGTTTCATTTTCATTTGTCCATTACGGAGTAGAAGATATTGCTTCAACAAGGTATTTGTCCATCTTACATTCATGCACAGAAAATTCAAGCGTCTTACATGAAGAAACCTTACCTACGGTGAACAGGGGGTTGCAGAGAAATGTGTTCTGAAAGGGGTTCCACAGTTCAGAGGTTATTTTATGCCTGGAGGAGAGAGGGATACTGAGTGATATCTAAATTTTAAAGCAACACTTTTCAGCATTCCTTGGTTAAGTTATAAGTTATTATTCTAAATCAGAGGCTAAAAACTTTATCATAATAAAAATGCAAGCAAGTAGTTTTTGTTGTCTTATAGTATACTAAATTCATGAATAATTTTTATTTCTTACCAATCATGAGTAACTAATTTTAGTAAAATATTCAATCATTCAGATTTTCTTTTTCTTTTAATGTAGGTTATTATGGAGCATTTCTGCAAGATGATTGGGAATTGATTCACTCCATTATACGAAAAGCAGCTAACAATCTTCCAATTCCCATTACTGCCAAAATGAGAATTCTCCCTGGACCTTTTCAAAAATCTGTTGAATATGCTAAGTAAATATTTTTTTAATTAATTCTCTACATATTTTAATGTTTTGTAATATACTCTAATTATATACAATTATGTACATCAAAACTCATTTAAGAAATTTTTCATAGGAAAGAATCTTAAATCATAAAATTTAAGTGAGTAGGTCAAATTTATTTATTTTTAGTATCATAAACATGTATTACAATATTGATTTTCAGAAGTTCTTGTTTACGATACAATATGAAACACACATTGAGCTATATTTGTTGAAATTTGTCTTAGATATTAACAGACTTAAGCATTAGCAAACAAAGTATATAGTGAGAATTATTTCGATTATTTTTTCTGATTAAAGACAGGACGTTTCTCCTCTAAAAATCATGTTATAGTTCAATTTCTTTCTGATTAGACAATCTATACTTTTAAACAGTCTAAACATAATAAACTTTTGAAGATCTCTTCTGGCATATTTTGACACATTCATTCTAACTACTAAAGGTTTTTATATATTTTGCAATATCTGATAAACTAGTGCATCTAGTAACATCTTTTTCAGTTATATCTATTTAAATATGTTCATCTGCAGCCTCTTAAATACCACATACAGAAAACATTTCTGACATCACAATTCCATTATCTGTTTACACATGCTTCCAAATGAGGTTTTGAAATTCACCTTGTCTTGTACATGAAATCCCTTCATTTTCTTATGCAGTCACTGCTAACAACCCCTATGGTCCAAATGAAGACGAAAGTTATTATGTGATATTGATAAATCATAAGTACACAAAGCTATAGCAATATTTACTCATAAATACCTTGCTTATTTTGACAAAGACATTTTTCTTCTATCTACTTCCTTCAAAATTTTTAATATTTGTTCGAAACGTTTGTCATTGCGCTGGTTATCAGCAACCGTTTTTGCTAAATTAAGTACATCCAGAGAACTGCTATCTAAACTTAAAAGCAATAGGAATGCCACAAATATAATGTGTTATAGGCCAAAATTTTTTCATTCATTTTCCAAAATTTATCAATCATTGAGTTTTCAAATTAAAAAACCTTCCCCGATGTATAAGTGTTTCTCTTAGATCTAAATAACTGTAAATTTGAAGAATTATTGTTTGGAAATGAGCCCTGTTTAGAAGATTTTACATTTAACGTAGAATAAGACACTGATGTCTCGTGCTGTATTTCATAACCATACATTTTTTAAATGCTAAACATAATATTTTTTACTTGTTTTGACCTAATTTAATGCAAAATAATGACAAAAAAAAGTTATGCTAATATGTTTAAAAAAAAAAAAACTCTGTGTCGTAGGGTTAGTTTCAAAATAAACTGTTTATCACAGCACTTCATTTAATATTTCATTCGTATAATTTTTCTTAGCTTTTACGAATCTTAATTTTAATTGCTAATTTTTCTAGTACGTTATATTTTAATTTCTCATTTATTTTTGCATGTTTTCTTAGGATGTTGGAAATGTCGGGTTGTACATTAATAACTGTACATGGACGAACCAGGGAACAAAAAGGTCACGCCACTGGCTTAGCTTCGTGGGATGCCATAAAGGAAGTTAAATCAAGTGTAAATATCCCAATTATTGCTAATGGAAATATTCTGTCATTTGAAGATGCCAATAATTGCTTGGAATATACTGGAGCCGATGCTGTTATGTCTGCTGGTAAATAACCTCATAAACAGATGTTTTTATAGTTTTTGTACACTTCAGTACTTTTTGTACAAACTTGTCAAGGAGAATCAAACTATTCAAGGAAATTGATTTAATGTTGTTAACGTTATTAATCCTGATAAATTTTAAACTAAATGAACATCTTTTTTATAGTTAGCAGTGCTCAACCTTTAGAAGAGAAGAACATAATTTTTTTCTTTTGGCAGACATTTGTCTTTATTTCCATTTTGTCTTTATTTAAATATAATTATAGTTGGTTTTCAATTTTTCTGCAAAAGAATTACTTTTACTATTATTTATTTTTTTATTTTGCTGTATATGAATTACTATTTTTAAATTTTAAATAAATTCTTAAAGTTATTTTTCATCATGTTTCGGTTTATATTTTAAAAGAAGTATAAAGATTTAAGTATTTTGTCACCTTGCCTTTGCATTTTGGAATTTTAAGGTTTTAGTTATTTTTCCCCTAAAAGTTTATTGAAAAAAGTTTGACAAACACTCTAAAATTTCTTGAGCTAGTTGTGTAGTTTTTTTCTTCTAATCCTAATTTTTATTTGGACCCTAAGGGTTTGGACCCAATTTGACCTCGTTAGAGTTGCATTTGATGTCCAGTATGCAAGTTGTGCACTTCTAATTTGATGAGTATTTTTATTTGAACTTTCATTTCGAACAAATTTTAGTATCATGTAAAACAAAATAATAATTTTAATGGCTTGACTTTTTTTATTTAATTTCTGAAGTTGCTATGTTATATATAATTAATTTGTGTTATCATTATTGTATTTATGTGGTTATATCATATTTATATGGTCACTATGATATCATATTTATTTGATTATTTATATGGTTTATGAAGTAAAATGTTTTTCACTCCCTTTTATTTTTCTTACGTTTTTTGTTGTTGAATGATTTCCTGTTATTAATGACTAATTTGTAATGTTGAGTAAGAAGTGTTAGCATCAGATATTTCTTGCTGTTTTTGCCTTTCCCTCCTCATTCAAACCTTTTTTTCTTCTTTTTTTTTTCTTTAAGAAATAATATTTTGCTTAGATTATTGGAATAATTTTTCGCTTTAACATTTTTACTGATACTTAATGAAATTGAAAAAAAAAAAAATGCTTCTGATTTAATCCAAATTTGAACATTAAAATGATTTTAAATTAAATTTTTTCTTTCTAAATATTTTAAAATGATCATATTTATTTATTTCTTTACTTTAATTTGATTTCCTTTTTTGTTACTTTTGTAGAAGCTTTACTCCATAATCCAGCTCTCTTTTCTGGTAAAAATCCTCCTGTTTGGGTCATAGTAGAAGAATATCTCAATATTGCAGAAAAGTGCAACACCCCTGTCAAATGTGTCAGATGTCATTTGTTTAAGATTTTATATTTGTGGTAGGTATTTTGGCCATTATATCTAACTTATTTTTAATGAATACATAAAAATAATCTGTTTTTTTGTAGATCTTTTCATTGTGTTTTTAAAATGTCGCATTTGGGAAATTTTTGGTAATTGTGAGATATTTTTGTTTAAGTAACATTTTCATTTATTACACAATATTTTTATAATAAATAATTTGCTGATAATATCTTCATAACTCTACATAAGTTATTTTTAGTTTTAAGTGCACAATAGTATTTTTTTTAGAGAAAATGTTAGAACCCTATGGTATCATGTATTAGGTAGGGTTGAGATTTTGTTTTGAGGGGAGCTATTTCTTCTTGGACATTAGAAAAAACTGGAAGAAGCAGGACTAATCATCTTACAATTGTTTAGTTATAATCATTATAAAAATAATTTTAATTCAAAACGAACGTAGACTGTAAAGTTATAAGTTTTTCACAAATACGTTTCCTTAAAAAAAAAAAAACTATTTTCATATCTATTTTAGTTTTATACATAATTTTTATAGTATTTTCAAAACTTTTTCTTAAAAAATTAAACATTTAATTACTACTTATTAAGATTTCAGCATGCAATTGGTAATTCTTGTCCATAAAAATTTAAATAATAGTGCACTTTTTATATTCCCGTTTGTTATCAATTCAAAAGTGCTTAACAAAAAAATAAGTTACCTGAAACAATAAACAACTTACACTCTTGTTAAACTGACACTGTAAATCACTAAAATTGCTTTTTGTTAAATTTTATGAGGAAATGAAGCTTAATAAATGGTTGGTAACAGAGTGGGAAAAAAAAGAGATAACAAAAGGGAAGGCTGACAGTAGAGCTAAGTTTTAAAGACTCTTGCATTGCAAATTTTTGTTGTTCAAATATTGATAACTACTGATATTTCTTTTAATAGGTGTTTAATATTTAATGAAATACTAAATTAAAAGTCAATAAATTACACACTAACATTTTATTTATTAAAATGGCAGCAAATATATATATATATATATTGTAACGATTTCGTTGCTTGTTCAGATATATAATTGGACAGGTTCAACTATATTTCTTTCAAGAGTATATAAGCTGTAACGATTTCGTTACTTGTTCAGATTAAACTAAAACTCTTATAAAAAACAAACAAACTTTTAATAAAGTTTTCTAGGTTAATTTTATATGTACAAGGTTCTATTACAATTATATACTCAGTTTTAAACAATTATCGTCACTTTTTTATCAAACACTACAATAAATAATCAAAAGAAAATTTCTTTTTCTCTATTGAGACGACGCATGGTCCGCTCATGATCCTTCGTCTGATCAGACTGCCTGTCTCCTCTGTTACAGAGTCCAGTCTTCCTCCCCTTTTACATGTGCATTGAGTTCTCAGAATTTTGAGGGAGACACCGGATGCCAAGGGGAATGAACTCGGGGGTCAGCTGTCCATGATGTTACGATATATATTGCAAGTCAATTTACTTGAACAGGTTCAATTAGAAAGAGGAAATGTTTATCTAAAACTAAAAGGAGTACTTTAATCTCATTCTGTGTTATTAAAAAACTATTAAAAAATTAACTGTTAAATCTGTATTAAAAAATCAAATGAACCTTAGAATTATTTACAGCAGAACAATTTAAATCAATTATGCTAGTAATAAAGAAAATAAAACATTCTCATCTTTTCAAGGCTTTATTTTCTTAGAATACACTAATTAAAGGACAATTTTTAAAATGGCTACCTTATCTTATTATTTTTTAAATGGCTACCATACTGAAAGAATACGGTTCACAGAATCATCCAGGAAGCTATGGGACCCATTTTGGCCAACTCAACAGAAATAATTTAATACAGCTAGTTATGGTTACAGAATGTAAAAAAATCCTGGGGCAATATTAAAATGTTTGATTTTAACTCAAAAGTAATTTATAACTGTCTATTAGACAAGCTGTGCTATATATTACATATATAACAGAATTTACGTAACTAAATAAATTGAAATTGTTTTTAAATAACAGTTGGTTTAATTGTAGTAAACTAAGAGACAAAGCAGATTGTGAACTGAGCTCTACCTGATGTATTAAAAAAGTATTACATGAACATTATTTTTAAAATACTAATTTGTATGCATATACATTTACTTGAAATCTATAGTAAAATAATTTGAATACTTAAATGTGTGATTTGGAATTCTATTTTTAGTAATTAAAATATGGCATCAAAAGTACAAAGTTTTCAAAATGTATTTCATATATCATTTAAGAATCAGTTTGAGTATTCATCCTTAACAGTATTTGATTTAAAAAAAATTAGTATACTATTTATAAATAAAAATTCATTGTATGATATATGGTTGTGTAAATATTTAACATATGGTTTGTTAAGTTAACACTCTTACTAAAATTTGATGATGATATTTAAAATTTTTTTTTTATGCAATTATAAAATTAGGTTAAACTATACTCTTTTATCTAAAATACTGAAAGAATACGGTTTTAATTTCTTAAAAAGTTTACATTAAATTTTTTTCTAACCGTTGCTCTGTAAGTTTTCTCTTTTTGAAATTGATCAAACTGATCACTTTTTTGACTACGAAGAAGCTTGAAAATGATGCTATTTTAACTAGATTACAATTATAAAAAATTTGATGTTCCTTTTTGGAAAAGAGTTGCTTCCAATTCTTCCTCAGGGGTTATAAAAAATCTGTTTCCTCCAGAGTGTTTGTTTACACTGTGGGAGAAACTTCTGTTCAAAAAAATCTAGATATGGGTGTTATTATTTTTATTTCATTTTTGTTATTATTATTATTTTTTAAAATTGACTTCTCAATTTATAAAATACTGTGCAATTCATTTAGATTCTGGAAATAAATAATTTCTAATAAATTCTTGGGTAAAGTTAGACTACTTTAGCAGATCATTCATCCACATTATCATTTATAATTTAAAACTAGACAGCATACTTTATGAAGAATAAAATAGATTTAAAATATTTTCATTCCAAAAAATGAATAATAAAATTTTAAATATATATATTATTCAAGAAAATATAAAAAATAAATAATTCATTTAAAAAAAAATACATTATTTAATACATAATACATTATTTAATATTAATGAGTCTTTATTAATGAGACTTAGCTTGACTCTTATGAATAATATATAGATAACTAAAACAATTCATTAATTATTTGTTTTTCTTGAAATATTTAAAACTAATTATATTTTACTTAAACATATTATTAAGTATTTATTGTCTATGATTTGCTTACAGATAAAGAAGTTTATTTTTTATACACAGGTACTTTCTAACATTAAACTGAGGTTTGATAAAATATTTTTTCCATTTTGATTTAGTTAAAAGAATGTTTTAAAATTCCATGAAAATGTTTTCAAATCATATCCTTTAAGCGAGTATCAGATCAAACAAAAAGAGAAAACTACTTTGCTGTAAAGCTTAAGTTTAAATTGAAATTTGAACTTAAGCTTTGTAGCGAAGTATTTATAGTTTAAATATTTTTTTTGCAGCTTTAAGCTTTATAGTTTAAATTGTCTGCGAAGGATTACGAAGGGTCAGTCCATGCCTGACACAGACTTAAGCTCATTATCTGAATAAAGACTCCAGGCTCATTATAAAGTTTTCATGTATATCCTTACTACTTTCAACTGAGCAAATATTCAAAAATATATTTAGGTTCAGTTAATAAGCATAAAAAGTTTTAAAAAAAATCATTAATGATAAAAGATAAGAAGTATTAAATATGTAAGTAAGTAATCTCAATAATATATTTTATTTGGCCTTCTTTCCATAAGTTTTGGTTTTATAGCTTTGTGATGTTTTGTTTTTATCTGTCATATATAATTTTAGGCTGGGAGAAGTTTGAATAAAAATAATCCTGTTACTCACAGCAGGGTTGCCTCAGGCTACTAAAATGCAACTATTTGCTACTATTTTTGGCCTTAAGCGACTATGGCGACTTTTTTTGCCTGAAAAGGTTAAAAAAGCAACTATTTTCAGGAATAGGCGACTATTAGGAGACTTTTTTTACTCTTGGCGAAGTTTTTTCACAAAAATGAATGTTACTTTTCAGAATGTTAATAAAAAAAGCAAACTTTAAAGGCAAAAAAGCAACTATCTTCAGGAATAGACGACTATTAGGAGATTTTTTTTACTCTTAGCGAAGTTTTGTTCGCAAAAAAGAACGTTATTTTTCAGAACATTAATAAAAGAAAGCAAACTTTTATACAATCATTTATTTCCAAAGAGCCATAAATTTAAATTTCCATTGGATTTAATAAAGTATTTGTTATATGCTCTCTCTGAGGGGCAGTTTTGTTATTTTTAATTGTTTTTTCCTTCTATTAACATTCATATTTGATTGTAATTCGACTTTTATTTAGGTACCTATTTTCTAATATGTATACCTTTTATATTTGTACAAAACTTTTTTTTAATTGGAGCATAGTTAGGACTGGGCGATAAATCGAAGTATCGCAAAATATCGATTTACCGCATATATCAGTAGGACGATGTAGTGACTTTCGCCTTAGGCGATGCATCAGAAGTCTGATTTAAGCCGCCGGAATTAGATTACAATCGCGGTTTAACGATTTAATATGCAAGGATCCTTGGCTAGGCTAACGCTGTTACCGCACTGACGAAGACGATTTTGATTTCGTGTAGCTGCAGGGATGTAGATAGCGTTTGGCTATTAAGATGCTGTTAGTTTTGTGATGTTGAATGACGAAGAGCGAATTTAAACGGAACTCCCGGTTTTGTGCGAGGATCAGCTTTGTAATATAGAACGCAATGCATAGCTTCTTTATGTCCATTTTTGTCTTTGGGATTTTGCATTTTTTGAATATTATTTTCAATGGGTCTTAAGTCGTTTAGCGATCGTTGTGCATTTTATTTCGTCGGAAATAATTGCCAGGTTTCTTGAAAATTATTTTCAGTCAGTCAGACTTATGCAGCTATCGTTTCGTTCTGTATTATTTCATACCATTTTTTTTCTGTCTCGGTTTAACGATTCTTGTCAATTATTTTTAGTAGACCTACTGTAACTTTGCGATTGCTGTACAATTGCTGTTATCTTAAATTTTCGTTCTGAACTCAATAGATCAAATAATTGATTTTTTTCAATTTTTATTTTAAGCGATACAATTTAATAGGGGTATTTTGTATTTAACTTTGTTATAAAAAGTTTGTTTTTTTAAATTTATTAAATGTAGTTAAGTATAATAATTTGATTGTTTTTCAACCAATAAATGCTCAGTCGTTTTTAATTATAAAAAAATTAAAGCAAAGCTTACCTTTATTTAGTTTGCTTTTATTTTTGAGAAAATGAAAACAAAGTTTTAAAAAAATTTGGCTATTAGTTAAAACAAATTTTTTTTTAATTAAATAAAAAGTTTAGTAATGTTTTGACGTTTTTAATAATTTAACATCAGTACTTAAAGTATTTTTTTTTTAATTTTTACTAAAATTCTTTCAATACTTGTTTGTTTTATAATTTGTTCGATAGTCAGTATCATTTTTAAACAAATAAATCTTTCTCAAAAATGAAAATAATAATAAGTAAAAATATTTTTACATTTATTAAGTACAGAATTTGACCATTAGTTAATACTACTTTTTATTATTTTAAATAAGTAAATAAAAAAGAGGCTAATGATGTTTCAAAAGCATGTTTTTTTTCCCAACAAATAATAAAAATTTTTTTTTTTGTTTCTAAAGTGAACATTTCTTTGGTTTGTTTTCCACTTTTGTTTTTTTTCTTTTAATTTGTAATTCATGTAGGAAAAATAATTTGTTACAGTATTATTATTTTTAAACCAATAAATCTTAAATCATTTTTAATTTAAGAAAAATGAAATAAAGCTTGGGTTTGCTTTTACTTTGACTTCATTATTAATTTAATTGAAAAAATTAAGCAATGATATTGATGTCATAGTAAAATATGTTTAGAATTAATATTTTCTTTTGTACTAGATTTATTCCTTTTTATTTATTTTTGATTGATTTAAAGATTTTCCATGGGTAATTTTTGAACAAATGCTAAGTTGTGATACATCACTGTATTGTGATGTCTAACTGACGATGTATCACAATTTAAAATTTTTGACATCACCCAGTCCTAATAATAGTATTTGACAATTAAGCTACAGTATTCGACAGTTCGACAGCCATAGTATTTGACAATTAAGCTATAATTTTAGTTATTTGGCTACTACTTTTGATAAATTTTTGTTCCTGTTCAGGCAACTATTTTCATAGTTTTAGGCAACTATTTTCATGCTTGAGGATACTAAAAGCAACTATTTTTGTTCATTTTTTATTGTGGTAACCCTGTCACAGATAAGATTCAAATTCTACACAAATCTTTTTGAATCTTTTTGTATGACTAAAATCATTATGGTTTGAAGGTTTACTCAATCTAGTGTTGCTACCGTAATTTTTATCCTACTAATATAACTTAAAAATAATTTTAAAACTAAGCATATAGCCGGGAAAAATTTAAAGCAAAACTTATTTTATGGTTTCAGGGAAATTCTTAAATTAAGGTCAATAGTTAGATATTAAAATCAATATAATAGTTAAGAGGTGTATTTAATTGTGAAATATTGAATAATTAAATGCATTGTGTAGAGAAATACCCTAGATTTTTTACTGTATAAAACAAATTAGAAATAGAAGGAAGCTTATGCAATAATTTATTTAAATTTGATTTGTTTTTCTTTTGAGTAGTAGAACAACAAAAGTGATACTTTCTTTCATTTTTTTTTTTTAGTATACATCAAGATGAAAAAATCACACAAATATTAACGGACGCTTCTACCATTAAGGATTTTTATGCTGTTTGTGATGTTTTAAAAGAATTGCCAAAACTCAAGTCTTTAGAGAGGGAAAGTAATACAGATGAAGATATTTCTGATATTGATGAACTTTTTCAAAGTTTTGAGCTTCAGGAAGATCATTCTACAAGAACTAAAAGCTGTATTGTAGATACATATTCAACATCACCTCAGACTACCTTCATAAATAATAACATAAATACACTCACAACTGATATTTGTAATAATATCCATGCATTTGTTCAGAGAAGCAATGAGCCAGAAACAGAGAAAGATAAATCTCATGCTAGTAATAATATCCATTCTTCGGTTCAAGCAGACAATGAATCAGAAACAGAGAAGGACACATCTCCTGTGTGCAATAATATCCATTCATCGGTTCAAACAGACAATGAGTCAGAAACAGAGAAAGACAAATCTCACGTGTGTAATAATATCCATTCATCGGTTCAAACAGACAATGAGTCAGAAATAGTGAAAGACAAATCTCATGTGTGTGAAAGCTATGATGATCATCTTCCTGTTTGGCTGTGTCATTCTAGACCTCGAGTAGGGGATAACGAGTAGGTCATTTATGTAAAAGTATCATAGTAATATCTGTAGTGTTATTTAAAATTTATTTATTTATTAATTTTTTTAGAAAGAGCAGAGGTTGCTTTAGTGGTTACTTTTCAACAAGTGAAAAAAATATTGAGGAACAATATATGTCCGTAAGTATATAATTAATTTAAATTATTATTTTATTTTAAAAGCAAATTTTTATTTTATCCTTTCATTTTACTTTCTTTTGCCTTTCTTGGAAATGACTATTTTTAACATTGTTTACAGCTGTTTTTAATTATGTTTACTGTTAATATATTTTTGTTATTTTTAGCAATCATTTTTAGTATCACCTTTGCACTTATTTTCTTAGTTGTGGCAGTGAAATAAATTAGTGAAATAATTTAAATTTAGAGACTCGAGTTATTGCACCTTAATTTTTTGATCTTGAATAAAGTTTTTCTGCTTTATCTAGTATAGTTGCTTCAATCTTTTGTTGTGAGAAACTTTACTTGAAGTCCAGTCTTTTACTATTTTGTGTTGGCCTTAGACATTGTTTTGTCCTAAGGATTTATGCAGGTTGATATTATTGTTTGTCAACACCTTAGTAAAAATCCCATATACAAAATTCAATACTTTTACTGTAAAACAGCAGAAAGGAGAGAAAATAATGCCTTCCTAAAAATTAAAATTTTTGAATTTCTATTTAAAAAATATTTTTATAAAAATATTTTAATGCTTTAATAATAAATTACTACTGTGATATTAATAAATGCATTATAATTAATTTTGTTTACATCTGTAAATATTGGTAATAAAATATGTTCTCTTCCCTGCGTTCTTTTTGAAACTGTCAACTGTTTTAAAACTGTTTGAAATTAACTGTTAAAGAATGAAACACTGTTAAAATATATTTTGAATTATTTATTTGAGTGGCTAATTATATATTACTCTCATCACTCATATTATCATACTATTCGCCTCACAAAACATGTAAGCACTTGTAACTTTTAAAGTGAAAGGGATGGAACAATTAACTTCTAATTACACCCCTAGATTATTTGACAAGTGTTTATGAACAGTGTATATTCCATGCATGTTTATGATTCCAGGAGTGAACTTGTATATTGTTTGAGATTTATTTTCAATAATGAGCAATAAAACAATCTATTCACATGGTATTATTACATGACTGAAAATAATTACTTTATGTTAAATGATTTTAAGTATGTAGATTGTAAATATGCTCACTTATTATATTCATGTATTTTAAATATTTTTTAGAAGAAAAAAACGAGGAGAGCGAGGCATCATGAGCGAGTTCTTGCTTCTATGAAAGAAAAGAGAAAAGTAAAAAAGATGAGAAGAAAGTTAAAAATAGCTGAAATGAAGAAAAACCAGCCTATTAATACTGAAGAAGGTTTTTACTTTACATCTAAACTATACAAACTTGAGGTTAAAAATATCAAGGTTCATAGTCATCCTGATGAAAAAATTATTTTATCCTGATATTCCTGATATTTGTATGTGCTTAGAACCTCCCATTTTCTGTGTGGACTTTTGAAAAATTTATTTAGGGAATCAAAAACTTTGGTTTTTTAATCCAACATCTTTTTATTTTAATTAATAATGCTAGTAGAAATTGCAAAATTTGATAGTTCTCATAAAGCAAGGTCCACATACTAATTATGTACATTGTTCAGGCATATAGTCTGACACAAAAGATTCCTTATTTAAACCTTTTTGAAATTTCAAACATTCTATGAAAAAGGAACTCAAAAATTCTCTACTAATGAAGTTTTTGTGGTAATGAATTCAGGGATCATACGCTTTTATATCATAATAAACAAACACAGTAACAAATTATGTAGGGCAAATTCAATTATTGATTTGTCTATTTTATGTGATCGTAAAAGTGATAGATTTCAATCAAAAAATTTTTTTAGTTGATTTATGAAATCTTGAATTCAATTACTAATTTTAATTATATATTGGTATGAGGGAATTTTATCTAATTGATTACGGGTATTTTTTTTAATGCAACAGTATTAACAATTTCCATACATTGATTTGAAATTATGAGTTGTTTAGTTTTGATAAAGTTACAGTGCAAATACAAACTGTTAACATTTTCTGATCTAAATAAAGTAATTCAGAGGTTTGAAATAGTATATTTAATTATTTTGCAATAATATTTCCTTTTAAATTTTTGCATGTAAGTAGACCAAATAATACTTTTTTTTTAAATTTGCAGTTTGCCTGTTTAAAAATTCATCTGTTATATGTATACTGTTTTTAAAATATACTGATTTTTTTCTTTAACTCACTATTGGGTATGAAATATTTATTGGAACTGTTTCAATAACATAGTGAACATATATGGTTGCATTATTTTTTTAATTTTTGATTCTCAAAGAAAGGAAATAAATAATTATTATTTATTTATTTGTAATAAATTGCTCAATGAAAATGTGCTGCAAAACAAAATCTGTCTTAACTTTTTATGTTCCTGAAATACTTTTACTTCTTTATAGTTATTCGTAATATTTACTCCTTTGTTTCCATTATTAGAAACTATATAGCATGATAGTGACTGCAAATTATTGTGTTAACTTTCATAGTGTGATCTAGTTACAAAAGCCTGCTTATTACACTTTTGGAAAAGATGATTAATTAATTACATCATGACATCAAGTTATTTTCCCTAACCTTCACCATGAATTAATTCTAGTTATTTTCCTTTTAACCTGCAAAATAAATAAATTTTGATGAAGTCAATTAGTGTAAAGATTTCTTGCTGCTTGCTCTGTAGAGTGAATTAAATTAAAATATCATTACTTATTAAATACCATAAATTTAAAAAATATTTCTTTAAATATGAACTAAAGATGAAGAAATATTTAGTTATCTAAAATATAAGAGAACAGTGTCACTAAAACTGAAATTTTTTTTAGTTTTGATACTTGAACGCTTTTTATTACTTAATATTTACACCTCCAATTCCATTAGAAACTATACAGCATGATAGTGACTGCAGATTATTGTGTTAATCGGCAAAGTTGTGTGTGTGATCCAGCTATTTTTGATATTGGATATACAAGACACCTTGTATTACAAAGTTTATCAAAAGTTTTGAAAATGCACAAATTCTATAATTAAAACAATTTTTTTAATTCCCTGCAAATTAAAAAGCAAATATATATATNTATATATATATATATCAATATGATATAGATCAATATATTTGATTTCAATGAGTTAAAAACTTTAAAGAACTGTTAACTATACTAACTGGTGCTGTCATCTACTGATGTTTATAGAAAGTAAATGTTCATCATTTACTTTCATTGTAAAAAAACAGAACTTATTTTGATAATGTTAGAAAATGCACAGTTTACAAGTTATACATCTAAGAGTATTTGGCTCAAATATAATTTACTTATGTTTCGAATGAAGAAATTAAACAGTATAAGTTTTTTATTGATAAGAATGGGAAAATGTTACGAAAACTGAGCACAAAGACCTAAAAAGAGAAGCAATGGCACATTGCTTTTTTTTTTAGCTATTTAGCTATTATTATAACCACTCAAGCCAATTCTATATATGGATTATAGTAATCATTAAACCATTTAGTTATAACTTTATTTTTCAAATTAATATCTTTTCTTAAATTATTAAATTTAAGTTTTTGCCCTGGTGACTGATTTAAATATTTAATTAAAGAATTTTGTTTCCTCTTTTTTGAATTCTATGACAGTAGAATTATTTATATATATTGAGAAATTCACACACATGCACCATGCTAGAAAAATGTTATGAAAGAATATTTGTAAAAAGGTCTCATAATTTTCTGTTTTATTAATTTTTTTAAAGCTTTTATCAAATTGCTTTAATTCATTTATTCGTGTTTAGTGGTTGTAAAAGAAAAACTGACCAAGAAACAGCAAAAGATGATGATTAGAGAACGTCTTTTAAAAGCTCAGGGTACAGCTCCAAAGGTGTGCATCAATCTTGGATTTGCCACTAAAATGGTTGAAAAAGTAAGCATTATATTAAAGTAGTATATTCATTTCTTCTTTGAATCTTTTAAGTTGAAATAATTTAAGGAGTATTTTTTTCGAAATCCATGTTTATCTAATATTTATTTGTTTTTGAAATTAATATTACTTAGTAAATTTTTATTTAACTCATAAATGTTTAAGAATTTTGTTAAAATTATGAAAATAAAATAATCAATTTTTTAATTTAAAAAAAATTGAATCTATGGATTTGAAAATTTAGACTTTTATTTATCTTCTAAACATTTGAAAATGATGCATAATCAATTGTAAAATTAAGTCAATATATGCTTTATGGAAATTTAAGATAGATCTGTGAATTTTAAATTTTGAAAAGATGGAATTCATGGTCAATTAAACGATGGAATTCATAGAAATTTTCAGTTTAACAATTAATAACACTTTAAAACTTTTTTTTCACTTTCATAGTAAAATATGTATTAGAATTTGAATTAACATTATTTAAAAAAAACAAATTACTAAAAGGGTAATTAAAATTTAAAAATAATTAATATTTTATCAACTTAAATAAGAGGAATGAATTTAAATCTAGGGAAATTGTTTTACTTATTTTTTAAGAAGTCTCCAATAAATTTTTTTATTTAATATTACTTATTGATTGTTATTAATTTTTTGCAAAGCTTCATTCATTTGTTTATATTTGTAGTTAATTGATTGTATGAGTTTTAGACGAAATATAACTAATAGTTGTTGAAGAGAAAAATTTATAAGACGGATCACTCTTTAAAAAAAGAGATGATTTATTTTTTATTTATTTTAATTATCGCTAAATGCGATTTCAGAAGTTTTATTTTTAATTAGACGGAGCTACATGAGAGCCGTGTGTCATTGTTGAAGTTACAAAATCTTCTGCCGGTTGGGGCGCATGCGCGCCAACATCCTGCCCGGCCTTTCAATGTTCATGCAAGAACTTAACATATAAAATTTAAAATAAACACAAATATTACATAACTTGACAATATAAAACATAAACATTATAAAATGTAAAATAAGAAATATATGACATTATGAAAATTACAGTATTTTTTTTATTTTATGTATCGATAGGCAAGACAGCTATTTTAGAAACAGCTCTTTTAAATACCCCAGATATTGTGCGAATTTTTACTACACGCACTTTATTATCCAAACCATGATAAACATAAATTATTTGGCCTAAAATCCAGGTATTTAAAGGCAAGAAATCTTCTTTTACAAGTACCATCTGTCCTATCTTTAAATCATTTTTTGTTACCATCCATTTTGATCTAGCTTGTAATGTATTTAAGTAATCCGACTTCCATTTTTCCCATATAAGTTGTACAACTTTTGTAGTTTTCTGCCACCGACTTAGACGATTATCATTGAGATCAGTTAAATTTGGTTCGACAATTGATGTTATAGGCCTCCCTATTAGGAAATGACCTGGTGTTAAAACATCAAAACTGTCATTATCACCGCTTAAGGGGCAAAGGGGGCGACTATTCAGAATTCCTTCGATTTGAATAACTATTGTTTCCATCTCTTCGTAAGTGAAATGAAATTTTCCAACTGCTCTTTTAAGATGATGTTTTACTGATTTTACACCCGCCTCCCAAAGGCCACCAAAATGGGGTGATTTTGGGGGAATAAAATTCCATTCTATGCCTTCAGAGGTAAAATAATTAGCCAAAATCTGATATGGAAAATTAATTAATCCATAAAACTTTTTTAATTGAGAATTAGCCCCAACAAAATTAGTGGCATTATCAGTATAGATTTTGGAGCATTTTCCACGTCTACTTGTAAATCGTTTCAGTGTGGCAATCATCGAATCGGAAGTCAAATCAGTCAGCTGTTCAAGATGGATGGCTTTTGTGGAAAAACAAATGAAAATACAAATATATACTTTGCTGAGAGTACTCTTACGTTGATGTTTATATTTAACAGCAAAAGGGCCGCACAGGTCTATACCTGTGACGGAAAATGGGGGTGACATGTTGGCTCTTTCACTTGGTAAATTACCCATAATTTGAGTGGAAAGGAAGGGCTTAGATTTGAAACAAGTTACACATTGATGTACAGTTTGACGTACAAGATTACGACCTCCTAAAGGCCAAAATTTTAACCTAACTGCACTTAACAAACCTTGAGGGCCAATATGAAGCAATTTCCTGTGTAAACTATCGAAGTAAATTTTACTTAATTTGGACTTTTTCGGTAAGATTATCTGATGCTTTTGATCAAAGGGTACTGAAGCATTATTGAGCCTTCCACCTACTCGTATTAAACCTTCCCCATCTACAAAGGAATTTAAGCTAGAAATATTGTGAGAAAAATTATTCTTAGTTACCAGTGTCTTCTGAGAATGCTTAATCAGAATACTTTACCTCGTCAACTGTCAAGGGTCCCATTTTCTTATCCTTATGTTTACAATTATGAAGAAATCTGCAAATATAACATAAAATATGATTAATTTTATAATAATTTTTTGAGAGTTCTAAAAGTTCATCAATCAGGGTCTGTGAATCATCAGTTAGCAAAACAGTCTCTTCCGTACTCTCGGTTGAGGAAACAGGTTTTGCTTCTCGGAGAATTGTTTCTTTTTCACCTTCTGCAAGGGATTCTATATCAGGAAATGATTGTTCTAAAGTTTCTTGAAAATCAAATTCCATCAAAAATTCAGCACCTGTCCACCACCTGGAACTATCAACCAAACATTCAGCACTAATTCCACGAGAGAGAATATCTGCAGGATTATCTGTACCTGCCCAATGGTGCCAGGAGTTTGGATCTGTCAAAGTGGCTATTTCTTTAACTCGATTAGCAACGAATTGTTTCCAACAAGTTGTCTTTCCCTTTATCCAGTAGAGTGCAATTTTAGAGTAAGTCCAATGATATGCGATTGAAGACCTTTTCAGATTCACAATCTTTTTAACTTTAGATGACAAGCGAGCTGCAACTAGAGCTCCCAGCAATTCCAGTCTAGGCAGAGTCAAACTATTCAAAGGAGCTACTCGGCTTTTAGAAGTCAAAAGTCTAACAATCGGTCCATTTGGTGTGTAAACTTTCAAATATACTGTAGCACCGTATACGTTCTTACTGGCGTCACAAAAACTATGAATCTCGACGATATCCTCTTTGGATATAGAATTAAGAACCAGTCTAGCTATCTTAAGATTTTCCGAAAAAGGTATCTCTTCACACCATTTTATCCACTCTTTCTCTATTTTCGGTGGCAAGGATTCATCCCAAGGAATTTTTTCACTCCACAGTTCTTGGATCAGACATTTCATTCGTATGGTGAAGCATGAAATTAAGCCTAAAGGGTCAAATATCTTCCCTATAGCCTGGAGTATCGAACGTTTTGTACTTTTGCTTGAGGAGGCGAATTTTAGGAGACTTCTGGTATCTACAGAAAAATAATCTTCACTGGTGTTCCATAAAAGTCCCAACACTTTAGTCTGATTGGAGCCCAGACTAACACTAGCGTTTGCAGGATGAGTATCTAGTCCCTCATTCTTCCACTGCTCCATCAAATCAGCATCATTAGTTATCCACTTCCTTAGAGTCATTCCAGCAGCTTCTGTTATTTTATTTGCATCTCTAGATATTTCTAATGCTTCATCAAAATCATAGCTACCGGAAATAAATCAAGATTTCTATCTAGAAGTTGAACAATAACAGGAAGATCATTTTCATATTTTTTGATATGGTGCCTAATAGTAGCAGCGAGTAGAAATGGACTTGAGTGGACTCCAAAGTTCACTCTATTAAAATGGAAGATAATTATTTTGGGATCTTTAGAAACACTTGGTTCATCATTGCTCCAAAAGAATCTTACTGCGTCTTTGTGTACCTCAGCAAGACCTATTTGAAGGAAAGCCTGCTTCATATCAGAACAGAAAGCTATTCAGTTGAGTCTAAATTCAATAAGTACATCCAAAAGATTGGGGTTTAAATTGGGCCCTGGCCACAAACAGTCATTGAGAGAGAGTTCATTGACCTCGTGCGCCGCAGCGTCAAACACAATTCATAACGATGTTGTTAAACTTTCTTTTTTAGCGGCCATATGGGGTAAATAAAATATAGGTCTTTCATATTCATCCTGTATACTATCAGGTTTAACTATTTCTATAATGCCTTGACTTGTATAATCCTGTATAATTTCACGGTATCTATCATAGAGATCCGGGTCATGCGTAAATCTTTTCCATAAGCTTCGGAAACGTTGTTTCGCTAAAGAATAATTATCAGCAAGTTCATTATAGTCTTTTCTAAATGGAAGTTGTACTATGTAACGACCGTCTTTGAATTCAACAGTTTCATTAAATATTTTCATGGCCTGATCATTTTCTTGCAAAATTGGATCGTCTTTAATCCCAAGCCCCTCCAAATCAAAAATCAGTTTTAGTGTATCTTGTAGCGAATCATTTTTAGTTAGAAAACAATATCTTTCCTGAGTAATTTTGCTTTCTTTAAGTTTACCGCAAGCTATCCACTCCAAAGACGACTCTTTAAAAAACAGATCATAATTTATTTTATACGTATTTTGTTGCAAAACCTTGAAAAAAAAATCAGAACTTATTAACGCGTGCACTTAGTAGCTTCATAAAATTACTCATCCGCTAATTTCAAAAAATGAGGAATCTCTATTTGCGAAATGTCTAAAGTAGTGGGCGGTGTGAACCCCGTAATATTATCAACCACATAAAATTCAATTAATTCATTAAAACTAAAATCTTCATTCGAAATGGATGTAGTTAATTTCCAATTAATATTTTGGATCGATCCGTTTAAACCTGAAATCGGTGTTTTTATTTTATCTTTTTTAATCCCTAATAAATCGCTTATATTTTTCTTTAATACGCATATATTAGAAGCTGAGTCAAGGATCGCTTTTATTTTTATTCTCCTACCTTCTGCACATGTAATAAATATTTCAGCAGTTGAGAGCAAAACTTATTTTTTGTTTTGTTTACTAGTGGCTACGCTTAATACCGAAGCATTGGGATTTGATGGATTACTAGTAGAAGAAGAAGGAAGTGGCACGTGATCAACTTCACTTTGAGACCGCAAATGATTCATATTCATAGAATTCGAAGAAGAAATATTTGATTCAGTTTCTTTCGAATTTAATTTCGTGAAAATTAGCTTAGAATGTTTTAAAGAGCAAGGACACCGATATGGGGAAATACATTGGGCTTTTGTATGATTTCAGGGATGCTACGCCTGCGCCATTTGCGACAAACTGAGACAAAACGGCATAATGCCAAAGCTGCGCCATTCTGAGACAAAACGTCCAAAATTTGGCAAACCTGAATTCTGTTTCAAATATTAATCCGCATTGCCGTGAGTCATTGGAGATCATTTTGCCGTTCACGTCTCCAAGGGAGGAAAGACTTCCACCGAAAAAGCGGAAATCCGCTTTTTTCTCCCAATTTTTAAAATTTTCGACCATGTTCCAAAAACTAAAATTTTTAGGGAGTCCAATTAGAGAAACCCAAGCCGCCGGAACGATAGTCGGATTCCCGCGACTTCCGCTATAGAGTGGAAAGGAGTCTAAGTGTTTCGTTTCGACCACCGATATGATTTTTTTTTTTCGTTTGGGTGATTTTCGGAATTTTAAATATTAGGAATTGCGCTGGAATATGCTAAAATCGCGATTTTTAATCAGACGATTTTAATATCAATCATCGATTTTCGTATTTAACTTATTTAAAATTTATGTGTTGCGACTTTTTTTACGCTGTTTAAAAATCGTACTAGCAATTCCTATTCACTCAATTTAAAAATTCAATATCGCGATCTGTATTCCCGCGAGTTTAAAATCCAACGTCGCGATTCGTATTCACGCATTTTTAAATCCAATATTGCGATTCGTTATCACGCAGTTGTAATATCAGATCTCGTTTTTCGTATTTGTACGCTATTTAAAAATTACTCATTGCGATTCGTATTCACGTGATCTAAAAATTATTCATCGTGATTCTTATTTACGCAATTTAAAAATTCAATATCGCTATTTGTATTTTCGC